TATAATTTAAGTTTTATTAAAAAAAAGTTTAAATAATCATTTTCATTATTAATATCATATTCATTTTGTATAATAGTTATCATATTCATTAGCAATTCATAAAACATCAAAGAAAAAAAAACCAAACCAATAATCATAAATTTCATATTGTTATTTTTAATTTATCTTAATTTTTTAATAAGGCTTTTGTATAATTAAAACAAAACAAAGACAAGTAACAAATAAGTTATTTTCATAATGAAACAAAAAAAAATGTTAGATTGTATTTTATAGATTTAAAAAATTTAATTAAATAGAAAATAATTTGATTTAATATATATGTAGATATAAAAGTATATATAGGCCGCTTTCTAGTATATCGAATGCTTGCATCTGACGTTACTCATGAATTTTAACGCGACATGACGTACGCGTCATAAGGTCCAATACGCGTTGTAAAGTAACTAATTATTATTTTAGTTTTTTTTTAACGTTTATTTAAGGGTATACAGGGGATTTTTATATGTAACAAAATGAATGATTTTCCAGGTTATTGAAATATTTTTTAAAATGACAATTGCGAAAACTGCTAAATTGCAGATCGCTATAATTTATAAAATCAACAAATAACGTGTTTGACATGATAATCAAATCTTTGACATACTGGGAAACAGCCATATATATACATATATTTGCACCATATAATCTATATATATATATATATATATATATAAATATATATAAATGTTTGCTTATATTAATTTATTTTTTTTTATAATATATGTATTGGCAAATAAATAAATATTTTTTCTATATACACAATGCAAATTTTTTTCATTTTTATTATTTATTTTTTGATTTTTTTAATTTTTTTTTTTAAAAATACAATTTTAGCACGCTTCATTACGAACTTGAAGGATTTTTATATAACAATATATTGTTAATATTTTATCATTGCACTCTCAGTATATGTATATAATTATTATTATAGTAATATCTATATAGTCTTTTAACATAATAATACGGTAGTGTTGTGTAACAGATGCATTTATAATTTATATGTTAAATATATTGATGCGAATAAAGAAAATATCTGTGCCTTAGAAAAAAAACTTAACTACTTAAATAAATTTAAGATAATAGTTTTGAACTCATAAGAAAAAATTACTTATATATTTACACCTATTGAAATAATTCAATCAAATTTTGAAATAATTTAATTGAAAAGAGAATTAAAGTTTTGTTATACTTCATACATAAAGACACATACGAGTACTTATATAACAACTAACAGCTACAATTGCTTGTGTAAATATAAATTCCTATATATTACTCCATCGTATACCGTAATGTTGGTATAACTGGTTTTGAACGAAGAAACTTATTCCAATCCTAAAAAGAAAAACAAAAATATTTGTAATTAATTATACATATAAAATTATTAAATAAATAATTGTAATTAATTAACAGGGCTACACAATATTGCATTATATATAATTAACTGATAATTCATACTGCGATAAGTATGCAAATTGCATATGTATATAGAATTAGTGACTCTCAACATAGTAGTTTTGCATTTTTCATAATATTAAAAGCATTTTTTTTAATAAAAAAAATCCAAAAAAAATTTTTTTATAGAGGTACGTTGATATCTAGCTAAGTAAGACACTTTAATTTTTGAAAAATAAAACAAGTGTTGTGTTCGTTTGTGAAAGCTTCAACAGGTAGTGCAGTTTCTGAGTTCGACATCGAATAAATTCGATGAGCGCTACATTCGCACTTCATTAAAGCTGATATTCTTCTAATTACGACAACAAAGATTATATTATCTTTATCTATTTATATCACAAATAGTATAACTAACTTAACTTGTTTGCACAGATCGCTTTAAACTTTGGTACATACATCTTTTTTTATTTGTAATAAATTTTAGTAAAATAGGTTTATTCTTAGATGAACTGCAACTCCGTACCTTTATTGAATTTTACCTTCTCCATCTTGGTTTTTCAGTTAAAAAATATTAGATTTTTGCAAATGTTGTCTTATTTAGCTGACCTATTTTTTTGAGATAGACATAGAATACGTTTTTTAAAATATTAAGTGCAACAGGTTATATGATTCAATTATTTATGCAGACACATCAATCAAAAAGTAGTGACATTCAGAAAAAAAAAATTTTTTTTCTCATTTTATATTTTTGATATTAACCATTTTAGCTTCTTTACACATAGACAACATGATTTTGAAAACAATATTCAACAAGACCGATCAACAAAGTGTTTGGGAGAACATCTCATCTTTAATATTATTTTGAACGTCTGCTTCCAAAAATAAAATAGGTGCAGTTGAATGGTAACGCTTCAAAACGACATGTTTTTACAATAATTATAATATACTCGTATTATACGAGTACAATAACTTATACAAAAAAAGGTTTTGGTGATGATATCGCGAAAATTTACATTGAAAATAGTAAAAAAGGAAACTTAGCTAAATTAAAAATACATATGTATATGTAAAATTTATTATAATAAACATAAAGAATTTACATTATAGAGGTCAATAGGAAATTTTTAAAAAATTACATTTTTAAATAATATTGAATTTTTGACACAAAAATTTAAAATTTTCTGTATAGCTCACCATAAAACATTCTACTTTTTAAACTCTTATATTATGTCATAAAATAGGCAGTATTCCGTATTACAAAAAAAAACGTAAACTTTGACAATATTTTTTATAAACATTTGACGATAAAGTATTATCAGTATACGTTTCTTAATATTTAATTTGGCATAATATAGCGCTAATTTTTGACTTTTTGCGCTGATTTTGATGTTGAAAATTTGGCAATAGGTTGAAAATTTTTAGGAGGATGTTTTCAAAATTTTATTTTTGACAATAATATTATTCTTCGGAAAATTTACGGAATTCAATATACGGAAAATTTTTATTATAATTTTTTATTAAAATAAAAAATTAGCTTTATCGAAAATTTTATTAAATTAAAATTATACGAGTATTGGAATTGAACAGTCTTATGATTTTTATAGAACAGAAATCAATTTATCTGCAATTATATACGAGACAGTAATAATAAAATTATAAAATTGATTTTTAATTTAATATTTTATATATTAGAGATTTTCATAAACGCAATATTGCAAAAAAAAATAATTGCAAAACTCCATATATTTATCATAACTCAATATGCCATATATTTTTCAACTATTCTAATAGTTAAAAAGTACATATATGGCATATAATATGGCATATATAATAAAACCAAAACAGTTCATATGATTTAACTACACTACTTATACTAATTTCATTATAATGATAAAAATCAGCCATGATCACAAACAAATTTGGTTCGCAACATTTGTTTATGAACATAAATATAGCGCATTTTTGGCTATATATCGAGATATACACTGCGTTTATGAAAAGACCTATTATATATTAAAAAAAAAACAAATAATTTTAAAATGCATGACTTTATAAATTAAAAATAACACTTAATTTTAATTTTTGGTTGGTAATCGTAGAAAAAAAAATTTTGCATGTACTTATTTAAAAAAAAAAAAACAACAAAAATGATAAAAATTTAGTATATGATTTTAAAATATTATTTTAAATTTATTTTGATTTTGATGAAGAAAATTTTAAAAGTAAAAGACAGAAAAAAAAACGTAGTTGTTATTCCTTTTTGCGAAATAATTTTCAATTATTTTATATTAAAAAAAATATTTTAATTAAAATTATTAAAATAAAAATTAAAAATATTAAAAAAAAAAAAAAAGAAAAACAAATATATATGTGTGTGTTGATCCTTTTTCCCGCAATGTTTAATTATATGTAAATGTTATGTGTTATGTGTTGCTGTTACATATATTATTGTATGTATACCAAGTTAAATAATATTATTTATTTTATAATTACATGAAATAGATTATCCAATATAACAATAACCACAATTGAATGTAAAAAATAACAAAAAAAGAAACATTATAATACACAAAAAAAATTAACAAAAAAAAAACAGAAAAAAAAGAAAATAATTAAAAATTCAAATATTCATTCAACAACTTACAGAAACTCTTTACATATCTTGAACCGTTTTCTTCTGGCCTTTCATATTAATATTGTCATCATATCATTAAATCCTTAAAACTACACAATTATCCACTTTCAACACTTGTCTATTGAATAACTCTTTGTTTTTTTTATATAAATGTTGTGATTTATTATTTTATTTTTAAATATTATATATATATTCATATATTTATACATATATATAAGTAATATATGTACGTATGCAAAATTAAAATGTCAAATTCTTTTTTTAACTTCAATATACCTATTTTCAGATGGATACACATATGTATGTTATATATATGTATATATATGTATATATATTTAATCATTATATATTAAATTATTATTAAAATTTTAACTATTGTAGTTTTGTGTCATTGTTATTTAGTTTTTTTTTACTTTAATTTTTAAGCATGTTTTATTTATTTATATATGTTAATGTAGATATATTAAATGTACATAATATATAGTTGTGTTGTGTGTAAATATTATACTTTTTCTTCTTCTTATATCCCCTCATATAACTTTGACTTTCATAAACATTATCTTCTGTCCGCTATATTTAATTTGGAGAAAAAGAAAAAAAATATAAGAACAACAATAATTGGCAAATTTTTTATAATTGTTTATTTAATTGCCTTTGCTATATTTATATATATATAAATGTCCTGTCAAGAACAAGTTTATTTTTTTTTTTACCTTAATTTCAATGTTAAACGCTACACAAATAAAATAAAAAACGAAAAAGAAAAAAAAAAAACAGAATAACATTATAAGAAAAAAAAAAAAGAAAAATTTTAATGAAAAATCTTTTTTGTCCAAAAATTTTTTGAGAAATTTGGTTGACTTTACACTTTTCTCTTCTTTTTTTTCGTTTTTTATTCTTGTTCTTTGTTTTTTTTTCAATTATAATATTTTAGATGACGATGCTGGCCATGATGCCGGTGTATCAGTTTCAAGTTGTAGTCCACAATTAGCTCCTGAGCAAATTGAACATATTGTTAAATCACCACCTGAGCCAACTCGGGTTAAATCGCCAGAACAAATAATTATGCGTTCACCAGATCCAGTTAATTGGACTGTACCATTAGATACTGGTAAAACATTTACTGTGACACAAAATGTTAAGGATGGTAAGTACACCAGCAATTACATTGTTGACAAATTATAATATTTTGCAAAATCATCTATTAATGTCTCTAATCGGATTTTGAAAAATTTGTTTTTTTCATTTCTGCAAAGTTTTGATAATTTGGTGCAATGAATAATGAAGACATGTTCAGATACTCATATTGATAACTAGTGTTGCGAAAAGAAAATTCGATCATGATATGTGAAAAATTTTTCTAACATATTTCCGATCATGCAATTTTTGCTTTCTCAGTATAAGATTTGACGATCTTGTTAAACACTTCATTTACTTGATTTTGCAATATAGCAAGTTAAATTGACATTTTAAAAAATTATTTCAACAAAGCAAGTTACTTAGCATTTCTTCTTTTATTGATGAGGTCCCTAATTCTCTACCTAGTATTTCTTCGACAGTTTATTGAATCTTAATAATGATTTCTTCCCAAAGAGGCTTTTGATGAAGTGATAGCATTTCTCGCGGTCTACTGGCATATATACTTGCAGTTCGGAAGTTTTGGAAATTCTGTGTACTGTAACGTTGGTTTCTGTTGTTATACTGCCTCTTTCTTTTCATTTTTAATCAAATGTCACCTGTCAACAGTTTAAAGTCACTATCTATGTTTTTTGCACCTTTTCTCTATTTCACATCCAATATGAATTTTCTCCATCTTTAGCTAATATATATGTGATCAAGCTGGTTTCTTGTTCTGCCGTTTGGACCACCCCTATTTATGTATGTCTTGTAAGGGAAGATGGTACATTGTTGTTGTTTCTACTCTCTATGCCATGTGTTTGTAGCCCGCTTTTATTCGTAACCGCTCTTCATCGCTCATTAGTATGACTTTATCGCATTATGAATTTCAAGAGGTGCCGTTGTGAGTTTGTTGTAGAAAGACAACTTCCCACAATTGATTTCTTCTGTCAGCACATAGCATTGTATGATAGTGATATTTCGGACTTTGCTGCGATCAAAAGTGGGTTCCAACTTTCTAAAGTCGTTCTGAGTTTTTATTAATGACTAAGGCCTCATCGCTTTCATTACCCGTATCTTTCCGCTATATATAACGGTATTGTCATTTGAAGTAGCTGACTCGGCATGATTATTCCACCTCATTTCATTTATCAGGATGTAAATTTTGTGAGGATTCATTCGTTTTTCGAATTGTGCCAGCCTTGATGCTTCTCGGAGGGACGTTCCATTGTACTATTCTTTTTCTTATTCGTGTTCTAATGTTCATTAACGAGAGATTATTCGTTAAATGAACGTTGGAGGAAAGAATAAATTACTTATATTTATATTATTTAATTATTTTTAGGTGAAAATATTAGCCGCCCTCAAAGTGAAATTAAAGCATCTACACCAATTGACAGAGCATTACCAGCAATACATTCAGCTCCTCCAGAATTAACAGAACAAGCAAAACTTGATGGTATGTACCAAAATGGAAAGATATAAGAAATAAAAAATTACTAAAAAACTATAAAAAAAGATAAAACAAATTTATAAAAGGATTATTGGCTGTATGATTTTTGTTTTCAATTTTTTTTTTATATTATTCAGTCGAAATAAAATCAATTTCGATACTAAAATGATCAATAAAATTTAAATTATTATATACAATGCTCATTTAATAGAAAATCAAATTTATTGCATTATATAAAAAAGAATATTAAAAATTTTTACCATAAACAATAATATTTAAAATGAAATAGAAATTGAAAAAAAATGATTTGAAAAAACTAATATTAATAATAAAATTAATAACATTGAATAAAGAAAAACAAGTATATATAGAAATGAAAAATGTAGAATGTGTGAAAAATATAAGATTCATATGTAATTTAAATACTTCCAAAAATTAAATTATTTCAAATATTTTTTTACATTTTTCATATTAATTAAATTTTGATTAAAAGTACATTAATTAAAAAGATGCAGGATATAAGAATGTATTTAAGGTATGAATATATTTATAAATATAAACACTGAAACTGAATCTATGACTGCAATTAATTGATTGAAATGTAAAAAAAAATTAGGAAATTTCCACTAAAAGTTTTACATCGTTTGTTTAAATATTTAAATGAATATTAATATCTAAGTTATGAAAAATATATTAACTACTAATTTGAAACACATGATTTGTAAAAATCAAACTATAATTGAGTTTAAATCCTTAAAATTATTATTCGGAATATTTGTAAAAAATCATTTTGCCAAACTTTCCTACTAAATATTTCAGCACGATTATGTTTTTTTTCTTTTATTATATGATGTATTTTTAAAAAAATAGGTTAGAATCAGTTATAATATTTAAATATTATAACTAATTTATATTTTTAATTGCATATTTTATTATTAATTTAAAATAAAAAATAATATGTGCCGTTCAAAAATGAATCATTAAAACGATTGTGTTAAAATACATAATATTTCAATTTTAGAATGAAATTTTAAGTGATGCAACTAATACGAGTAGTGAAATTCCTATTACATAAAATGTGATTGCTAAAATATTTTTTATGTTTTTAAAAAAAGAAAATTCCAACTTTATTACCGTTTCTTTTTTCCTTTCGGTGATGAAATTGGTATATTAAATTCTATAAATTTCAAAATTTGTCATTGTGTAAATAATTTACAGTGACATATAGGAGACAATTTAGTAAGTACACAAACGAACTACTTTTATTGAATGGCGCTATTCTAAATTAAAACCTATTACTCACTAGCGCCACTCAAAAAATATAGTTCGTTGTGTAATTTCAAACATTGTCTTCTGTATAAAACTATAAACTATATACATAATGGTTTTGATAATAAATTCCATATTCCGGATAAATGTGATATACATAATATATCTCATATCTCAAATAATTTTCCTACAATAAAAGAAGTTTTTTTTTTTGGAGAAACAAAAGTTTCCCATTATATTCCAAAAAAAATATATAATTTTAATCTTTTTCAAACTTTTAATATAATTTAAGTTATATGTATAACACATATTAAAATTGCATAATTATATCTTTATTAAGATGGAAAAGTTCAAGGGCCTAAAAAATAATAGTAAAACATTAAATGACATTATTAATTTTAAATTAAATTTTTAAATTATTACTCGTAAAAACATAATGTACATTATACTACTGGCAGATTTGTAATATCGATATTATGATATCAGTTCAATACTATAAGTGTGTGTCAGCTATACCATAATATTAAATATTGTAATTTATAAAATTGCAATTTTGTCCGTCAGAGTACTCACATATCAAAAAAAAAAATTTTGATTTGAAGTTTTCAAAATTGAAATATTTGACATATTTAATGTCAAAAAAAAATCTATTAAGAATACAGTTTTAATTTGATTTGTTCAAAATATTGTTGGGGAATGTTTTTCTTGTGAAAGAAGTTACAAAATAATGAAAGAGGAGAAAAAAATCGGATTTTAAGCAATAGAGACAAAATCAAATTAATTGAAATATGGAAAGAGCTTGTTGAAGATTAAGAGGGGCCAAGCAAAATAGCCATATCTATGCGAAAATACGAAAGGAGCTGTATCGAAAATGCCAATAAGAACTAACGGGCTCCATATTTATGTATTTGCTATACCTTAAAATGCTAATACTACATTTGTCTCATGGATTTTTAATATTATATTGTTGAGACTGTTGTAATATTGATATTACATGTCTGTAAGTAGAATCAAGTACAAAATCATATTTTCAACTTTTTAATTCCTGTTTTCATTTTATTGATGTTCAAATTAACACACTATAAAGGAAACTTAAAAAAGTAGATTTAGATAATATTTTCTCAGTTTTAAATCAAACTAGAAACCAATATAAAAGAAAAAATTTAACATTAACTAAAAATTTTAAAAATTTCAAAAATAATAAAATAAAATTTAGAATTTAAAAACATGTATAACATATAATATTATAATTAAATAACTAAAGTAAATTGAATACTTTGCGTATAAAAAAAAATAAGTAAATTTTAACATAAATTAAAAGAATTTCTTATGTACAAAAAAAAACATAGTAAAACAAATTTTTTTATACTAACCGGTATGAAATAACATACCGAGTTCAAGAAAACTTTGCAGTTTAATTGCAGTTGAATAAAATAATTATACAAAAGTAAAAAAAAATAAGAAGAGATGAAATGAATTTAATTTAAAAATAATAAAAAAATCCATACATATGTATAGTTATATGAAAATATATATATATTTAAATAAAAAAGATGTTTTTTTAGAAAACTTCAACAAATTAATTAACTTTTATATATATAAAATAAAAATTGTAGGTAAATTATATTAAAACAAATATAAAAATTTTTAGGTATTATAGAAATTATTTAATAATAATTAATAAATTAATTACATTGAATCAAATTGCAAACATTTTCACATTTATTTTATTAAAAATAAAATTTATATTATCTTTAATTTCTTAAATTAATGTTATATATTTGAACACTTATTTCTAAAATTCTCAAAAAAGCAAGTTTCTTTTTCAAAATTCAAATAAAATTAATTTAATTTTCCCGATAATGCTAAACATAATTAAAGCGATAAAATAAAAGTGCTTTAAAAAATATTATGATATATAATTACTTAATTTTAATTTTAAATTTTCATTTTCAAATATTAAAACAAATTAATTAAAAACTTAAACAAAAGACTCGCGAGAATCCTTCATAACAGTATCCTCCTCTGAACAAGTATTATTTTAATAATTACATTAAATTTTCCCTTTTAAAATTACAAATTATTATTAAATTAATTACCTATAGACTGAGAAAAGAAATATTAGAAAAAATTTACTTAATAGGACTTTTCTTAAAAATTTTTAAACATTAAATTATTTTAATATCCTGGATATTATCGAAAATTGAAAGTAAAAGAAATTCAGTTTCTATTTACAATTAAGAATTTGAATACGAAAAATTTTGTTAAATTATTGTTTTTTATAAGCATTTTGAATTTTCTTATTGTAATAAAAATAAAGAAATTTTAAATCGAAAAAGGAAATTGAAATTTATGCAGATACCATTTTTAAAACAATTTTAATTTTATAATTACAATATTAAGTGTATAAATCATAATATAATAATATATAAAACTGAAATAATTAAATACAAAAAAAATCTAACATTATAAATTGAAATATTTTATTTCAATAAATATTAATATAATTAATATTAAATGTTACAATTTATATTTGAAATCAATGTTAACTTCAAAAAAGAAAATCCCGAAACAGGAATATAAATGTTATAATAATTTTAATATTTTAATAATTACTTAAGACAGTGTTAAAAATCAACAGATTACATGTTAAACATTCTGTATCTTTTACTCTATATATATATATTTAAGTACATATATGTTTATATTATATGTTATATTACATTTATTTTAAAAATTTTTTTCTTTATAATTAATTTAAAAATTTTATTCTTTTCCCTCTCCTATATATTATAATATATTTTATTTATTTATGTTTTTCTTTGTCTTTTTCTATGTATTTTCATTTGCATGCGAATTCGCACCACTCTCCAATCAAAACCAAATAATATATATTAAAAACAAATAAAAATTAAACCAACAACCTAAAAATATAAAATCCAAATAAAATACAAAATCTATATACATATATTAAATTCCAATAAAAAACAAAATACAAAATACCATCCAATATCAAACAAAAATTTTATCAAAAAATAAAACTCAAACTTGAAAATACTACTATATATATATTTTCGCCGAAAATAAAAAATGAAAATCAAAATATACCTACTACAACTTTAAAAAACAAAAATTAGCTTGGAAAAATGCAACTGAAATCAAAAAGGATGATTTTAGTGGCACAACAATATTCATTCAACAAAATGACAGTACACCAACAACAAGTGCATCCACAATACGTACATCAATCGATGGTAGTATTTCAATTGTAGAACCTTCTGAACTTGGTCATTCACAACAACAGCGCACTTCTACAGCGATAACTGCTTCAGATGTTTTAGAAAAGGCTCGTGATCGTTTTGATAGATTCTGGGGCAGCAACAATAAAGAGGACAGTGTCTAAATATTGAAAATTTAGAATTTTCTGAATTATTCTTTTTCTGTTCTCTTTTTTTATCATCAACAAAAAAACAAACAAACTTTAATTCCCAATAACTATACTTATATGGCAAAATAAACGAAAAAATTTGGAAAAAATTAATTAAAAATACACAAATCAAAACAAAAAAAAAATACATGTCACTTTTAAAACTGAATTTCATTCTTCGTGTATTCGTAAATATATATACAATAACATAGATATGAAGCTGAATACATTCAACAATAAAAAAACAACATCAACATTCAACAATATAAATGAAAAAAGAAAAAAGATATTATTTTATACAAAAAAATCCAATATATTAATACCAACTAAATGTAATAAAACAATTATACATAAAAAATATACAATACAAATATATATATATTATATATGAAATATACTCCTTTTTTTTGAAATAGTATTAAAAATAAATTAAAAAAAATATCTAAAATAATGAATTCAAATGAAAGTAAAACAATACAATTGCACCCTTAAATATTAAAATTTACTTTTTAAAAATATTATAACAAAAAATATTTATATACTTCGTAAGAATTATATTTAAATAAATTAATATTTATAAATATATATAAATATTATTTAAAGAGGAGTCAGTTTCAAATGATCTGTTAAAATGTATAACATTAGCAAATTATCAAAAATAAAAAATCTTAAAATTTTATAAAACAAAAATATGTTATTATTAAATATGTTATTATTAATTTGTTATTAATCTTTATAAATAATTAATTAGTATCTTTTTTTGAAATATTTTTATAGTAACATATTACACAATCATATATACAATGAAAATTTTTTTGGTTGCACTTTTAACTTTGAGATTTTAAAACATTTTAGTTCTTAAGATTATTAAATAACTATTTATTTTTTTATGCATGTATACATATTTAATATTATAATATTATCTATATGGTGAAATCGATAATATCCAACGCCGATAAACAACAATTACATCTGATGATCACAAACCGGCAATCAACAATTTAGGCTTAAAAAGCTTTTGCGTATCAACTTTCGCATACAAACTTTTGCATTCAACCGGTTTGTAACTGCTTTAGCTACAAATTATTCTTGATAATTAAATTTTTGGCATTTTATACTTAAATGCTATTTGATTAAACAAAATTAATTTTCTCTTAAAACATTTTCCATTTCACACAAAAAATTAAATTAGTAATTGAAATTTTTTTTTATTCTTTTTTTTAATTCTATTAAATTAGCAAGTTGACGCTATTAGTTATGCGACATTAATTGTTTTTTTGCATTATTATTGGTTACACTATAATAAATGTAGATGTCTTGGTTGACAACATTAAAAATTACATAATGCTTTTGTTAACTGCAATTTCGATTAAAATTCGATGCAAATTTCGTAGCATAATAAATTTAAGATTCAGGCAGAGTTTTTATTTTTTAATTTTCAATACAAAATAAAATACGCCTCACTTTATATTTCTTTAAGTCGAATTTACTCATTTTAAATTTACAATTTATTTTTTTTTACAGTTTATTTTTGAATTTTGTAAATTTTATTTAATAAAGCAAAATTTTCTGCGTACAAATTCACATTATATATTTGCTGCGTACAAATCCAAATACACTTATTTCTTTTTTTTAATGTAAAAATTTTTAATTAAAATTAATTTTAAAATTTCTATTTTATTTGTTTGTAAACTTTTTTTTTTTTGCAACAAATGCAATTAACAGATGTTTTTTGTAACTGCACTTCTCATTATACATATTATGTAACTATATATTTATATATATTTAAAATAATATACTCGTATATTATATAATAAAAATAAAAGTATTTTTCATTACATACCCGTATGTATTTGTATAAATTAAAATCATATGTATGGTAAACATATTTTGACTTTTTCTTTCGGCTTTCTTTCACACAATTCCTCCACAAATAAATTATTAAACTTTATACAAATTTTCATTTTAAAAATTTTACAAAATAGTAAAATAATAATTCATTATAAAAATTCATATTGAATCATTATGTGCAAATAATTACTAAATCAAACTAAAAAAAAAATATTTTAATTTTGAACCACCCCAACTTTTATAAAATTTTAATTAATTTTAAAGCAAATCAAATCATAAAATACATTTCTATAAAATAAATTAAGAAGGAAAGAAATTTTATATTTTTCTTTTGTATATTTTTTTCTATTTTCCATAAATCCTTTATATTTTTTGTGTCATCATTAATTAAAAAATTCATATCCATAAATTTTGGTGCTCAATAGAAATTTTAATTAAAACATGAGATTAAAATTAAAGAATGTTAAGAAAAAAATATTCATACATACACATACATACGCATACATACAAATATATATATACAATGTTTAGTATAATTAAAATAACACTAATTCATATATTCATATTTAAACATTTGTGCAATTCATTTAATACTATTATATAAAATTCAAATATAAAAGTTAAAAGTAAATTGCATTCAAAACATAAACATTACAACATTTGATATACCATACCATACATATTTTAAACCATACTAATTGCAAAGCATATAATATTAAAAATAATAAAACCAAAATGAAAAAAATGAAAAAAAAAAACACAATATTTTAATCCTTTTTCTAAATCTTGAACATAACAATATTTAATAAATTAAATTTAAATAGAGCAATTTCAACCATCCAATATAATAAATTAACTTACTTGTATGATATACTTCTAACTTATAATATATATATATATTTATATATACATATATGATATATATAACAAAATATAATTTAAAAATTTTTAATTATATTCTTATAAATATATATACATATATATATTTATAAGAATATAAATATATATATATATATATATATTTATATACATATATATATTTTTGATTTATATATATATATATATATATATATATATATACGAAGATACTGAAATAGTGTAAATTATAAATAGACAAAAATAATAAACCCGTCCATCGGTTTTAAATGAAAAAAAAAATAATTTCATCATAATAAAATTTATTTTGTATAACAAAAAAAAAGCTCTCTGGCATCATCTCATTAAAAGTAAAATTAAATACAATAAAAAAAAGTAAAATTAATATACATCAAAAATATACCGAATTGTAAATTTTTACAAAAAAAAATTTATTATAATATTAAATATTTAAAATATTTCGTGAAGGAACTTATATACAAAACTCAAATATACATATAATTTCATTAATACCAAGAGGACATGATCAAATCTATTCAAAGAGGAATAAACAAGCAAACCAATACAAAAATCATAAACGACACCACACTCAAAAAAAACAATAACCCGTGACATTCATTTTGCAAATAGAACATAAAACTAGCAATATCGTCACATGATCCAAGTTGCAAATAAGAATTTATGAAATATTAAATGATCCAAATTGTAAAATTTATAGTCATAACGCAACAAATAAATTTTTTGCATTTGTATTTTACATTATCTTCAACTCATCTCTAAAAAAATATTTCTTGTAGAATAAAATAGATGCTTCTATAGTTAAATATAAATTATTTAAAAATTTTAAAGAATAAAACTGTCAAAACAAATTAAGTAACGTATGTGACAATAATTAATGACGTCTAATGAAAGTTTAAAATTATTATGCAAAATGAAATGGTAGACAATGCATTATTTTACAGTTTATTTGACAAAACAAATAAACTGTTTTAAAAGCATTGCTTCTAATTACTTTAATTGTGCAAAGTTTTCAATTACGTTTGCAAAATGGATGTCACGGAATAATAGAACAATTAATTAACTATTTCTCTATGGTATTTTTACTTGAAAGCCCATAGCAATCAAACTTTCATTGGATAAAATGAAATCTTTTATATTATTAAATTTCATATCTTTCTAATGATTTTATTTTAATATGGAATTAATATTACGAAAACATCCAAAATATAAAAATTTTTTACATAATGAATAATAATTTGTTATAATTTATTATAGTGAAATATTTATACTCGAATAATGCTCATTGTCGCTGTGAAAGAAAATAGAAATTGTAAACATTTGTAATTTTAAAATCATAAAAATGTCAATGAATTAAATCTAGTAAAGATTCACCACTTGTCGCAATGCGGAATCTTTTCCGAATTTTAACAACTTTAATTTTTTTATATTATTTAACAAATAGTATTTTTTCTATACGTTTATATAATATACATACATATTTGGTAACTCAAAACCATAAATTCTTATACGAAATATTTTATATTAATAATTATAATATTATTATATAAATTTTAACTTGTAACAGTAGAAAAAAATTAATTTTAACATAATTTCGAAAATTTTGCTTCTAAAATATTTTAAATTTGTATCATAGCTTTTATTATGATTAATAAATCTAAAGAAATATACAAAATTATCTTAATTTCTGTATTGCTTAAAAATTTAATACATATTAATTTGCAAATATGTAATTGCCAGAAAATTTTTTGAAAAATTTGAAATTTTTAATTGTAAAAACAAATAGGTGGCTTAACAATACCAAAAAAAAAACAAATTACTAAACACAATAATGAGCGCATTTAAATCGCATCTATTAAGCGAGTACAAAGTACTCCGTAATCACTTTTGAGCTACGCGAACAAATGTCTTTTTTTTTTGTTTTAATTGCACATTTTTGTTTTTTTTTTTTTGGTTTTTGTGCGCTATTAAACAAGCTATGAATTTGCTATTGAAAAATATAAAGAAGCATTTTGACTAAATAATAATAAAATTTTTTAATAAAAGCATAAAAACGTGCATTTAATAACACGCATTGCTCTGTAACGTAAATTTTTTAAAAGCATTAAGAAACGCGCATATTTTAAGCAACTCTTATGTGACAAAATAAAAATTTTAATAAAAAAAGAACATGAGACGCTATTTTCTAGATTCATGAAAGATGAAAGCATTTCAAAGCTTTAATTTGTAAAGGGGATTTTTATTTTTATTTTTTTATTCATTTTGCAAAAATTCCCCCAAAAACTGATCAATTTCATTTCTATGTTGTTGGTTAATTTTTATACATGTAGCTTTAATATACTTTTAAAATTTGACTGTTAAACAAACTGCTACCAAAATTTTTGATATATGCTTTAATAGCATTATACGCTTGCATATGTAATCTTGAACATAAAATGTACCAGACTAGCATATACATATAAAAAAAACTCGGGCTATTTAGAAGAAAAAATTATCGTTTCTTTTTTGTTTTGTATAACAAAAATTTATTTGTCTTCGTTTTAGTAGACGAATATAATAATTAAGCAAAA